AAAGATGAGATTCCGCGATTGGGAAGAAACTTTAACGACTGTATCGGTCTAATTTGAAGAGGTGTCATCTTCCCGGAAAGTGGCATAATTGGAAATTTCTGGGTGAACTGCAAACAAGAGGCGGAGATAAGCTACATCATTTTTTCCCTAGCTTTTTCCCTAGCTTTTTTTCCTGCGTCCTCGCAGAATCTGCTGGGAGATAAGCTACCTCTGGCAAGGAATAATGGGCATCTAGTCATGGGTGGGTATCCTCCAGGAATGAAAAGAGTTTCTCCATGTAGCATCATCACCGGGCTGCACTGTAGCAAAGGCCCTTTCGAACTGATCCGGGATTCAATGAAGAAACGTCCCATCTTTCGATCAAGAGTTCCAGTCTGGCAATGAAGGAATGTCGGCGCGAACTTACTGTATTATTGTTTATTTGAGCCTTTCATTCAGTATAGGTTCCGGAACAGTTGCCATTAAAATGTACCAACTTTACTACATCTTGTGTACTGCTCTATCTGTCTTCGATGTATGTTTCCTTTTTCATTCTCATATGTTCCTCGAGGTTAAAATATTCTGTACTAGTTTCTCTCCAGCGATTATGTCGGAATTGTTTTTTTTTTAATTTTGACAAAAATTTTTGCTGATTTCTTAATAATTGCCTGTTATAGCTTGACAACTGCTCAATGGACGATCAACTACTCAATCAGATAAGTAAGGACATCGTCGACTCTGTGTTACCGGCAGCCCAAGAGGATCTGGTGTGTAGACGTTAAGAATCTACCCAACTTCCGATTCCTAGCGTCTTCCGATTTCAGACTGGATTTAATTTTATTTTTAGATTTCTTTTCAAAAAGTGTAGATTTTTGATATGAGGGATAAGAAAGTGTTGAATTTACTCAATGCACGGCCAATTTTAGGCCTTATTTGACTTTAATCATGTACCAGTAGCCATCCAATCTCGAGTCTCTCAGTGTTAACCAACCCCGTCTGTAGGATGCGCCCCGCATCCACCATGCATTCAAAATTGCGGTGACGCTTTGAATGCGCATGTAGTCTACACAGTAACTTGTTATGGCCGGGCGGTGAGTAAGTCACTGCCCTCCATTCTTTTAATCGAATCCGATAATCCTCGGTGGCGAGAATTGAGAGACATAGCTGCTTCGGGTAGGCATCTATCCGATGTTCGATCACGGGTCTTACGTGTGGTAGTGCGAAACACGTTGCTACAACATCACTTTCAAACTTCTGTTGAACGAAGTAACGTGGTTTAGAAAGGTGGGAATCTATTTTGAACGATAAATCCTCAAAAACTAAAAATCGTTTCGATCAGAAAGTTTTGAATTTTCTACACATAATGGTCTATGAATCTCTGAATGCTTTTAGCTGAGGCATTTTGAACACGCTACATTTTGAAATTCATTTGTGATCGTTTCGGGCGCTTATCATTGATTTACTAAATTTGGCCCACCTCTGCCTTCTCCAAAATAATACCCTCTTCATATGGTTCGTAAAGTAACTCCCGCCAGACCTTCTCTCCCTCGGAAGATATGAGGAAGCCAACGTTAATAAAATTTTGCCATCAAATTGATTGATACCATAACCTGATTGTTCGATTTCGGTTTTTTTCAGTAGTTTAGAGGGCCTTGCGAAATGACTAAATAGCTCTTATTGATGGAGCCTCTGACAAGCTATCAATTAAGTCTTTTGGACGACATCCCTCTCTACAGAAATCCAATTTCAGGCCAAAATGGAGCAGGCCCATGTCCAAAATGCCGTCGTATCGGATAAGGTTTGTGCATTCTACTGGAAATAACATTTTTTCTTTCGAAAGCGCTGGACCAATAGCCAATTGGGGGCGGGGTGGTGGATTCTTAGCACCCCCCTCATTGGTGGTTGTTGAGTCCAAGAAAGATGTGCAGGAACCCTACCAATGAGGCCCTTATAGGTTTGGCTCTTTCCCTTCCCAGAAGACGATTGCCATTCAAACTGCAGCTAAATGTGCCGGTTACTCAATGCTTCACACTTACCTGTGGGGAGAAATTCTTCAGTATTTTCAGTCGTATTTGAATCTTTCAGACTTCTCCATCAGAAATGTCACCAGACAGGCGGCCTACACCACCTCCATCACCTGTAAGTATGGTCGAGGATCATTTCGAAGTGAAGAAATTGACGCCAGACACGGTAGGCTTACTACATAGTGTTGACATTGAACCATTTTCTATCCTTATCGATATTCGGATAATTTACTCTTCTTTTATAGCCTTTTTTTTGAAAAATCACTTTTGTCGGCTTAGGCTCAATGGTTGGCAGAATGGTTATGTTCAGAAATACCCTGGCTCTTGAAATACGTGTTATCCGAAACCAACTGATAATTCTTATGAAGTGGCTGGGAGAACGCAAAGAACGCCCTTGGTGTACATATCATTACATTTTCACTTTTTCCCTTTAAACACCTTTTTGCTCTCATCAGAATTTTTTCATCGTTCTCTCCCTCCCATCTGTTTTCTTTCCCGGTCGCACTGCTTAAAGGCAAAGTTCACGAAAAAATGGTCTCTATGATTTTCCCCCAGAAAATCTGTAGTCCCAGAGCATAGCACAAAGAGCGCTGACGGGTCGAAAACCCACATACATAGGAGGAGGGGTATACGGGCCCCTTGACAGGCTTAGCGGACATACATGCCTGAAGGCGGCCGAGTTCTCACGGCGTTCTGGAAGCTGTAAGGTTTGCACGATTCGCACTGGGACGCACTCGTTGCACCCAGGCAGCTTACTATGGTCAGCTGTACGCAATGGCACACACATTCGGACAACTCGTCCAAATACCTTACCTATGGAACTTTTGTCTTCACCTTTTCGTCAACCCCCGATTTTACTATTTTTTGGACCCTATAGTTCCGAGTACGTCGATATTCGAAATTCCATCTCAACTTTTCGTTATCCTGGACTGTCACTTACATTTTCGTCTGACAATAAGGCTAGATACCCCAAAACATTGTGAACTGTGCCTTTGAGGAATACTAGGAAAGGAATGGCTTTTGAGATAAGTATTACTCGAAATCAAATACAGGGAACTCATAGAATAACCTTGGTGTTCATGCCAATGAAATTCCTTTTTTCCTTTTGACCTTTTTTCTCTCTCCTCCACCTCGCCATCTGTTTATTTTTACATGGCGCTGCTGGGCAGTTTATTGAAACCTTTGCGAAGTAATTCAAAATTTCAAACCAATTGTTCACTGTAACACGAAGCTTACCTTACTTTCTATTTAGTTGCAATCTCGCAGTTATCAGCCGCTACAACTATAAACTATTATGAAATCCATCCTTTAAACTAATCAGAAACAGCTGACGAGGCATGAAAGCCACAAATTAATTATCTATTTCAGGTCGAAAAAACATCCAATACTGGTCAGGAGCAGTCGGCTGATAACGTGAGTCTTATCGGCAGTTTGAACTCGTTTTTCTGGTCCAATTCGGCCTACTTATTTCTGCTCGAATGTCTGTTATTCTTTTTTTCTTTAACAACCGGTTCTACGATTCTCTTCAGAAATTTCCACTTCCCGCCTACCTAATCTCTCATTTCTCGATTTCATTTTTTCTCCGTCAGAATGGCTCCAGACTCTATTTATCAATCAGAAGTCGTTTTCTGAACCAGTCGGACACTGGTGTTCCACAACTCTGATTTTACTTGAACATCTT